TGTAAAGTAGCTGCTTTGGCAGTCTACTGTCGTCCATGCGGGTAACATGGCCAGTCCAGCGTAGTTGTTCATGGATAATGGTAGCCTCGATGCTCCTACAGTTGATGTCTGCAAGAATACTGGCATTTGTTCTCTTGTCTTGCCAGCGAACTCGGAGGATGGAACGTAGACTACGTTGGTGAAAGTTTTCAAGTGCCTTGAGGTGCCTCCTGTATTTGACCCATGTCTCACTGCCATATAGTAGGGTGGGCAGGACCACTGCTCGATATACGTGCAACTTTGTGGATAATTTCAGCTCCATACTCCTGCAGACACGGTTTTGGAGTCCGCCAAAGGCTTGAGATGCACTTCTGATCCGATGCTGAATCTCTTCATCGATATTTGCGGTGGTGGACAGGTGGGAGCCGAGATACCGAAAGTGGGTGATATTAGAGAGGGTAGTACCGTTAAACTGGATGGATGGTGGAGGTGTGGCTGAACCAGGGGCAGGTTGAAAGATAATCTGAGTCTCACATACATTCACCTCAAGGCTGAAGTGCGCATACGCATCTACGTAGGTGTTTAGGATCTCCTGTAGGTCGTGTTCAGTGTGAGCAACATGGGTGAGGTCGTCTGCATACTAAAGTTCAGTAATGGAATTTGCTGACACCTTTGTTCTCACCCGGTACTCGATGTTCACCCCGCCGGCTGAATTGGCACTGGCAGGAGTAAGGAAGGCAGCCAAGAAAATGGAAAAGAGAGTTGGTGTCAGTACAGACCCTTGTTTAACCCCCGTTTGGATGGGAAGAACTCAGACTGGGTGCCGTTGTGCAGGACACTGCCGTTCATGCCATCGTGGATTTTCCTCACAATGGTGATGAATTTTGGTGGGTAGCCAAAACGGCTGAGGGCTTCCCTGTTGACCGAATCGAAGGCCTTGGTTAGGTCGATGAAAGCCATGTACAGGTCATGACGCTGTTCTCTGCACGTTTCCTGTATCTGGCGGGCAGCAAATATCATGTCAGTGGTGCCACATGATGGTCTAAGACCACACTGAGATTCTGGGAGGAAGTTTTCCGCTTCAGGAAGGAGTCTGTTTAGGAGGACTCGGGCGATAATCTTGCCAGCTACAGAGAGCAGCGAGATCCCACGGTAGTTGCCACAGTTTGACCGGTCTCCCTTGTTCTTATAATATTGACAATGGGAGCATCTTTAAGAGCTTGGGGGATTTCCTCCTTTTCCTATATATTCTCCAGGAGAGAGTGGAGACGGCTGGTAAGCAGAGGTCCTCCTGCTTTATACACCTCAGCCACCTCGGCTGGGATTCCATCAGGCCCTGAGGCTTTGTTATTTTTCATCGGTTTGATGACAGTAACTATCTCATCCAGGGATGGAGGATAGCTGAGGTGGGTCAGCTCTGGACGCTGAGGGACCTGCTGGGTAATCAGAACAACCACATTGGTGTTTTGGTTGAGTAATGAATGGCAGTGTTCTTTCCAGCACTGAAGACGGCCTTCATCATCTTTAATTATGAAGTTACCATCAGATAAGCAGAGGGGGGCTGCACGAGTGGTTGGCCCATAAAATGTTTTAATGGAATTTAACAATTCGCTCATCTTGTGCTGATCTGCATGTTTTTGTATTTCACATGCTTTGTTTTTAAGCCAGTCATTCTTTAGAATGCGAATTTCTCGCTGGGCTGCCCCTTTCTTCTAGCGGAAGGTATCCGCTTTGGTCCGGCACTGAGGGTTGTTCTGCCAGTCATTAAAAGCAGCACGTTTATCATCGATGAGTACTTTGATTGCCGGGTCACTTTCAACAAACCAGTCCTGGTGTATTCTTTTGATCTGGCCGAGGGTCTCTCTCCAGGTTTTTGTCATAACAGTGTTGAGAGTATCCTATTCGGCACTGGGATTCGCGTTGTTTGCTGTTGGATTGTTTATAAGCCCATGTTCGAGCTGCTCTCTGAAAGCATGTGCAACTGCTGGATACTCCAGACACTTCGTATTAAAACCTCTTCTGGAGGCTTGCTGCCTTCGCCGTTTGGGGGCGACGTGAAGTGAGAGCTTGGCTCTGACAAGTCTATGATCAGTGTCACAGTGGTCTAAGCCACTCATGGCATGGGTGATGAGGACATGTCGGCTATCTCTTTCTCTGACAATAATGTAGTCAATGAGATATCAGTGTTTGGATCGTGGATGTTGCCATGGACCCTTGAACTTGTCGGCTTGCCGAAACAAAGTATTGGCGATAGTGAGGTTGAGGAGGAGTAGGCCGTTGGCATGACACTTGCCTAGTCCATTTTTCCCTTTGGTTCCCTGCCAAATGTCAGCACTTCTGCCAACTCTGGCATTGAAGTCGCTTAGGAGCACAACCTTGTCTTCTCTGGGGATAGAGGTTAGCACTCTGTCAAGGTCAGCACAAAAGGCTGGCTTGAATATCGTCCTCTGCATCCAGTGATGGGACATATTCACTGATGAAAAAGGTATGACGTGAATGATTCAGTGGGACTCGAAGCGTCATGAGGGGCTCGTTGATCCCAATAGGCATTTCAGTTAGCCTGTTTAGGATGCGTTACCGGATGGCAAGGCCAACTCCTTAAATGCAGTTTCTCTCCGCAGTATGCATATCCTTCCAGAAGAAGGTGTAGCCAGACCCCCGTTCTGTGAGCTGGCCCTCATCTGGGAGACAGGACTCACTAATGGCTGCTATGTCGATATTATACCTAGCCAGCTCTTTTGCCACAAGGGCGGTTCTTATTTCAGGATGCTCATTTGTGCCAGTATCCAGAAGGATCCTGACATTCCATGCAGCGATCACAAGAAGTTGTATGGTTTGCTTTTGTTTGAGTCTGTGATTTTGACTGTGTTTTCGACCGCATAAGGATGACCTTACTGGGTGCGGTTGCCCAATCATACACAACATAGCCACACACAACACAGCCACACACAACACAGCCACACACAACACAGCCACACACAACACAGCCACACACAACACAGCCACACAACACAGCCACACAACACAGCCACACACAACACAGCCACACACAATACAGGCTGCCCTACCCACGCACCTCCTAGCTTTAAGTAACAAGAGTAGTCACGTAAGTCTTGAGGCGTCTGGCAACTTTATCTCCGAGAAAAAAAAATTCTGGGAAAAATCTCTCACCGCAGGAGTTAGTGTCAGGGAAAATCCCCCACTGTAAGGGTTTAATAGTACAAAGGAACTCACACGAGTTGACGTTACTGGCAGGGAACTTTTAACACTGCAAGAAATTCTGTCACTGATATTTTGGGGGAAATTCCCTGTTCAGAGCATATTTTGGCTGGCGGGGAAAAAATCCTGTTCGCAGACATTAACGACTGAGGAAATACTTCAGTGTAGGGATATATTACTGTACACTAGTTACTGGTAGGGAAATTTGGGGGAAAATTCTCTAGATTAATATACTATCAGGGAAAAGTCCTCCATATAGGATTTAAAAGCGAAGAAAATTTACAAATGCAAATGATATTAGTTAGGAAGTTTTGGCAGCACCCATGTAACTGGCAGGGGAAAATCCTTAAACGTCTTGGTAGTGACAAGGGATATATATTGGGGAGGCGGAATGGGCGGGGGGAAAATGTGTTGAGGAAGGTATTATGGCGGGGGAAAATGCATAGGGGAACGTGTTTAGGTGGGGGAAAATATATTGGTAAATGTGTTATGGTGGGGAAGAATGTTCGGGATGGGGGGAATTGTTTTAAGGAAAGGTGTACTGACGGGGAAATTAAGTTACACACAATATTTAATCCAGAGAAAATCCTCCACGAAAGGATTTAATTCGAAAAAAAATATCAGATTAAAACGCGTAGATTATTTCGTAAAAAAAAACCAGTGTTTTTTGGGAAGAATCCGATTTAATGCAACAGAATAATTTAAGAAAAATTCGTCTAAAATAAAAACAAAATAAATAAATATAAAAATGAAAAAAAAAAAAAATATATATATGAAGAAATAATACAAATAAAAACAAAATAATAGAACTTGGAAAAAATAAAATAATGATAGTTACAAAAAAAAAATAACATGTAAACAAACAATTAAAATAAAAGAATAAAAAATAATTAAAGATAAAAAGACGATAACTGGAAAAAATTATGAACAAAAAATGAAAAACAATAGAAGGAAAAAGGTGGAAAACTTAAAAATAGCCGAAATAAAAAAAAAGAAAGAAAAAAAAGCCATAATGTATAATATACAATTTGAGAACACGAGCTTGAGAGGGTCAAGAGGGGGGTCCGGGCAGACAAAGACCTGTTGAAACAAAGAGGTGGTGTTAAAACCTTCCTTCTTCAGTAGTAAGACCCCTTGTTTAGGCCCCCTGCCAGAGTAAGACCCCTTGTTACCTTGGTAAGACCTTCGTCCTTCAGTAGTATAGTTGGACACCTTGTTAAGACCCCGTCCATCAGTAGTACTAAGACCCCTAGTTAAGATTATCCCTCAGTAGTAGAAGTAAGACTCTTTGTTAAGACCTTATTTCAGTAGAAGTAAGACCTCTAGTTAGGACTGTCTCCTTCAGTAGTAAGACCGCCTTTTAAGACCCCCAGAAAGACTTATTATTTAAGATTTTCAGCAGGTAAAGAAACACCAGTTATCAAGAGCTTCCCAAGGCATTCCATACCAAAAAAGACCAATTGTTAAGACTCTCAGACTTTCGGGACCTAAAGACCTATTGTTGTGCGTCGTGTGAGTTAGCTTTAACACATGTCTCTCTCTCTCTCTCTCTCTCTCTCTCATATTTGCGTATCACAGAAACTGAAATACGGTTGTTTACATTATCAAACTTGTCTTAGAAATTGATATTGACTCATTAAAATTTAGTGAACGAGGTAGTTATGTAATTAGTGTGTAGATTAACTTGTGATTATGGTTAGTGTTATAATTTATTTTTATCTTATGAGAGGTGAGTCATTTTGCTCCCTTCCTCACTACCCCTCCTCACTCACCTCCTCACTCACTCACTCACTCACCCACAGAGGCGCTCAAGACCTACGGAGACCTTCTGACGGAGTATGAGAGGCGAGAGATCGAGGCTTACCCTGACGTGTACTATGTGGGTGTTGACGCTCGCAAGATACACGGGAGGAGGGGCCCAGCTCAACGGCGGCTATGATGACGAGAACGGCAGCTATAATAAGGTATGTCACAGCTATAATAAGGTATGTCACAGCTATAATAAGGTATGTCACAGCTATAATAAGGTATGTCACAGCGATAATAAGGTATGTCACAGCTATTATAATATATGTCACAGCTATAATTGGGTATTTCAGCTATAATAAGGCCTGTCAGCTATAATAAGGTGCATTGAGTGTATTGAGATTAATAGCAGATGTATTGAGGATAATGACAGGTGTAGTGAGGATAATGGCAGGTGTATTGAGGTTAATGACAGGTGTATTGAGGATAATAACAGGTGTATTGAGTGTTTTGAGGATAATGGCAGGTGCATTGAGGTTAATGACAGGTGTATTGAGGTTAATGACAGGTGTATTGAGGTTTATGACATGTGTATTGAGGTTAATGGCAGATGTACTGAGGTTAATGGCAGATGTACTGAGGTTAATGACATGTGTATTAAGGTTAATGACAGGTGTACTGAGGTTAATGACAGGTGTACTGAGGTTAATGACAGGTGTATTGAGGTTAATGACATGACTGAGGTTAATGACAGGTGTACTGAGGTTAATGACAGGTGTATTGAGGTTAATGACAGGTGTACTGAGGTTAATGACAGGTGTACTGAGGTTAATGACAGGTGTATTGAGGTTAATGACATGTGTATTGAGGTTAATGACAGGTGTACTGAGGTTAATGACAGGTGTACTGAGGTTAATGACAGGTGTACTGAGGTTAATGACAGGTGTATTGAGGTTAATGACAGGTGTACTGAGGTTAATGACAGGTGTATTGAGGTTAATCGCAGCTAATATGAGTTAATTGGAAACTATGGTAAGGTTAATGAAAGCTAGAATAAGTTTAATGGCAGGTATCCCAACATTTAGCCTACCTGGACAGCTAAGATATACTGGTGGTTAATGAGGCTAATTACCAGACGTGTGATGGTAATGACGTTGAAGGGGATTCAATTATTGCGTCAATATTAATTATGTTGAAAAATTATGATGACCTTCCTGAAAGCTGAGGTCAACAGAGAGAGAGAGAGAGAGAGAGAGAGAGAGAGAGAGAGAGATTCCCGTGTATCATCCCAAAGGTTATCCTAGACACAGATATAGCCTTATTTACTCTCATATATCTTTATAGCTTTCATAATTACAGCTTCTTCCCCCACAGCTAACTTCCTCCTCCACAGCTAACTTCCTCCTCCACAGCTAACTCCTCCCACAGCTAACTCTCCCCACAGCCAACTTCCTCCCCCACAGCTAACCTCCCCCACAGCTAACTTCCTCCCCACAGCTAACTTCCTCCCATGACTAACTCCTCCCCCACAGCTAACTTCCTCCCCACAGCCAACTTCCTCCCCCACAGCTAACTTCCTCCTCCACAACTACCTTCCTACTCCACAGCTAACCATCACGATGAAGCTAACCTCCTCCCTCCCCCACAGGTGATGCATGACCACATCAGCTACAGGTACGAGATCCTGGAGGTGATCGGGAAAGGGTCGTTTGGTCAGGTGATTCGGGCCATCGACCACAAGTCAGGTGACCACGTGGCAATCAAGATCATCAGGTGAGTCCCTTTGGGAATTTGTCCAGTTTGAGATTTTTTTCTGTTTGGGAATTTGTCAGGTTTGGGAATTTTTTTCGGTTTGTGAATTTGTCCAGTTTGGGGTGGTTGTTTGGTTCGGGATTTTTGTCTGGTTTAAGTGATCTGCTTTAGAATTAATCGGATTTGAATGTCTCTAAAACCTTCAGAGAGAGACAGTGATGAGAGTCTTGTCAAGAGACAATCCGTGTGTGTGTGTGTGTGTGTGTGTGTGTGTGTGTGTGTGTGTGTGTGTGTGTGTGTGTGTGTGTGTGTGTGTGTGTGTGTGTGTGTAAATAATAATAATGATAATAATAATAATAATAAACGGTCTATTAATAGAGTTGCAGCCGGTGGCTGAAAATAT